GTAGTGAGAGTAAATATACGCAAATGGAATTTGTACAATTTTGTTCAGAATTTAAAGGACTATAACATGCTAAATTTTATCAAAATCGTTCGGGCCATTTTTGGGAAATCCGATTGTTCTGTTATTTTATGGGGGTTTTATGGGAAAATGACATAATTTACAATAACTTTTGAACCATAATTTTTACAGAAATGGGATTTGTACCATTTTGTTCAGAATATAAAGGACTATAACATACTAAATTTTTATCAAAATCGTTCGGGCCATTTTTGGGAAAATCATATTTTTCCGTTATTTTATGGGGTTTTATGGGAAAATCCCCATTAAAAATAAAAATTTCTAAAAAATTTAAAAAGACTATCAAAACTGTAAGGACTATAACATACGATGTTAAATCAAAGCTGGATTTTTTTCTGTAATCCTATTTTTCATTTTTTATGGGGTTTTTATGGGAAAATAGCATATTTGACCATAACTTTTGAACCATAATTTTTACAGATATGGGATTTGTACCATTTTGTTCAGAATTGAAAGGGCTACAACATACTAATTTTTTATCAAAATCGTTCGGGCCGTTTTTGAGAAAATTCGATTTTTCCAGTTTTTTATGGGTTTTTATGGGAAAATCCCCATTAAAAATAAAAATTTCAAAAAAATGAAAAAAACGCCTGGAGATACCATAGATTAGAACCTACATACCAAATTTCATCAAAATCGGACCACAGGTGTGGTCTCTAGCTCTGTACACATCCAGACACACAGACACACACACACACACACACACACACACACACACACACAGACATCACTTCGAAAACCACTTTTTTGGGTCCAGGGGGACCCAAAACGAATATATCCACTCAAAACTCAAACTCGAAAATTTTGACGAAAACAATACTTTCTCCATATACTATGGTATAGGGGAGAAAGTAAAAGGAAAGATATTAAAACATTAACACTTCAAACTGTGAACATATTAGGACAACATAATAATATAATCAAGCAGCTGATATTAAAAGACACATTAAAAAGATATTTGATTATATAGCATTAAGCAAAGCAATACTGTATAAAATCCTCAACATTCCCCCTTAATCAAACATCTTTTTTTTATTTAATCTGAGTCTTTAAGTACCATGTCCGTCACAAAGTTATTAAATTTTTCACGTGACAATGATTTGGTTAAAATATCAGCCGTCATACTTTCAGTTCACATATACTTGATTTCAATGAACTTCTTAACCATATTCTTGACCTTTAGCAACAAGACGTGCTTTGAATTTCTCACGATCACCATCCACATTTTTCTTAGTTTTATAAACCCACTTGCGTTTAACCATATTTTCATTCTTCGGACGATCAACCAACTCCCAAACATTGTTCTTAATCAGAGAATTATACTCTTCATCCATGGCATTCATCCATTTTTCTTTGAAATTACTTTTAATTGCCTCATTAAAATTTTGCGGTTCATCAAAAACATCGACAGCTTGATATGAAACGAAGTCGTTCATCCATAATGGTTTTCTGCGATCACGTTCAGGTCTTTTATTATCAATCAAAGAATTCCCTTCTTCCAAAACTAGCAGTTCATTTTCATAATGTGAATTGTCTAGATAAGAATTTTCATTTTCTGAAACTTCCTGTTCACTTTCACTGTTAGAATGAACAAGATTTTCTTCGTTGTCAACAGATGTTATATCATTGTTTGGTTCTTCCACAAGTTCAGTTGAACTACTGTTATTTTCATTTTTCAGGCCATCTTTCACATCAGAGGTATGACATTGGTCTTCTACAAAAACAACATCACGTGCTTTTATAATAGAATAAGGTTTCTTAGGATCAATTAGTCTGTAGCCTTTGGAATGTTCACAATATCCAACCATAATACAAGGCTTTGCTTTTGTGTCAAGTTTCTTTCTGTAACATTTGGGAATATGAACATAAGCTTTACAGCCAAAAACCCGTAAGTGACTTAGATCAACCTTTGAACCAGTCCAAACTTCCTCTGGTGTTGCTTTCTTTAAAGCTGCTGTAGGACTACGATTTTTCAAATAGATCGCTGTGTTTATAGCTTCTCCCCAATATCGTTTTCCTAAACCTGAATCTTGAAGTAAACATCTTGTCTTTTCAACTAGTGTTCGGTTAACACGTTCACTTACACCATTTTGCTCTGGCGTGTGGGGTATAGTGGTCTCATGAATAATGCCATTTAAACGTAGAAAATCTGCAAGTTGTTTGTTAACATACTCACCCTTGCCATTATCAGTTCTCAAGCGCTTAATTTTTAAGCCAGTTTGATTTTCAACTTCCATTTTGAAGTCTTTGAACTTACTTAAAACTTCATTTTTGTGTTTAAGTAAATAGCCAAAAGTTTTTCTCGAGAGATCATCGGTGAATGTTAAAAGATAAAGAGATCCACCCCAACTTTTAACTGACATAGGTCCACATAAGTCTGAATGAATTAGCTCAAGTAATGAAGTAGCTCTAAAACTTTGACCTTTAGGAAAAGATTTTCTTGTTATTTTACCTTCAATACATGCGGTACAAGTATTCTCCTTTTCTGATTTTGAATAATTTACTCCATTAACTAAACCATTTCTTAGTAAATCCATTCCTTTATGACTTAGATGGCCTAATCTATGGTGCTACATACCTTTGGTTGCAACTGTAAGAGCAGCTGGTGAATTATCTTCTTTGAATTCAGAGTGACCATTCAACTCTGTTGGCTCAATTAAGTTTAGTTTATATACACCACCGTCATTCACAGCAGAAATGTCACTATGTCCCTCTATTCGGCAGTCATTTTCTGAATAAATTCTGCACAAATCTTTGTCAAAAACTACTATTTTACCTTTTTCTGTAATTTTATTTACAGACAACAAATTAGTAGTAAGTTCTGGTATGTATAAAACATCCTTAACAGTATGTTAAGTGTAATTTAGCATAATTTTAGCATTATGCTAAAATCTTCCAATTTAGTTCTAAGTAAACGTCTTAAAATACTAAGTCTTCTAACCAAACTTTTGTTTTCAAAAGCATTCTGGAGATTATCCCAAGCTTCTTTAGCAGTGTCAGCATTCCTAACATAAGGATAACAAGTAGGCAAAACATTTAAACAAATTTTTGCAAGAGCCTTTTGATCTCTGTTTTTATCTTTGATTTCAGTATCATTAGATACACAATCCCAAAGTCCATCAATTATTAAGGCCATTTTCATAGAAAACTTCCAATTGTTATAATTTAAAACACCCTCTAGACGTTCAACATTACTATTTCCTCCCATTATAATATTTGTCATACTAGACAATTTTGTATTACTTGAGGTAGGTGTAATAGTAGGAGTTGTATTAGTGTTTTCTTGTGTAGTTTCCATTTTAGGTCAAACAACTTAAAAATTTCAGTTCAAGAAATTGGGTAACAAAATATTGTTCATAAGCCTAGAAATCTTACCAAACACAATCAGTCCAGAATTCTTCATTTTAATGTAGTTTTATACACTTTACAAAAAATCTCACAAAATTTTTTATTTACAAAGTGGTGATGCCATATTTTAATGGTTAAAGACAATCTCGCCAATCCAGTAAATACATTAAAATGATTTGGAACTTGATAGGTATTCTCGTTTTTCAGGAGTAGGCCGCGTAAAATGGCTCTTGGGTCGTGACAGACAGAAATTTAGATGAGACTTGTTTCGGTTTCTCTAATGTATAAAACGTAAAAATAACCTAAAAGTTTATGATTCTGAGCAATGTACAGACAAAACTCTAATTTTATTCATATAGATTTACAGCTTGTGAATTGCCTCAACTGCAAGAAAGAAGAAAATACAATTGTTTTTTTATCAAGACATTCTTTCCCATTTTTATAACTATTGAAATAACTAAAAAAAAAAGCTAAATTACAACAAGTTTTGAATGGAACTTAATATAAAAAGATTATAAACAAATCAATTAACATACATATCACAATTTAGGGCCTGTTGACTGGCTTAAAAACTGCAAGAAAGAAGAAGATAAAAATTCTATGTTTCCACAATGCAATATGTATCATTCATTCCCTCCCTCCTAACCTCCTAAGTACAAAACCTGACACTTGCAATAGGATCATTACTTACAGCATCATAAATACATAAATCTATTATTGGCATTAGTAGGCCTACAGATTTACATATGAATTATTTTTATAGGGCCTAGAATAGTAATAGGCTAAGCAACATGACAAGTCAAGAACTCATTGAAGAAAAGATTGTGATGATGTGGAGTAGTATGAGTGTGTAAATGAAGATACCTGGGCCCTATATACCTTCCTTGCTGACCACTACCAAATCACGCACATTTCCTGTCGTTGCTCAACTCTATTGCATGGAAACTATCTCGTCAAAGTGCACAATATTACCTTAGCTGCCTATCACAGCCAGCTTTTATGTTATTTAATATATCTAATTATAATATAGTGAACAGAGAAATAAATATATATATATGGCATATATATATATTTATTTTCTGTTCACTATAAACACAACCAATATGGCCTTTATAAAAGTGTTTTTGTACGGTTATTGGTAACGGTGAAAATTTTTAAAACTGTAAATTTAAATTTCCCATGTTATTCTTATAGAAATTATTGTAAAATGTTGTAGTTTGCTTGTTTATGGATTACTGTATTGTATTTTGTGACTAATTTATGCTTATTTATAAATACAATAGATACAGTGAATTTATGTTGATGAATGTTGATGAATATAAGTGCATGGAGTTTAAAAATAATAAGTTTTTGATAAAACCTCACAAATATAGTTTTTTATTTAGTAATGATTGATTACACATTGATTCACTGTGACCCATCTGAGCATTTACTTAAGTAATAAAATAATAATTTTATTGTAATTATTTTTGTAAGATGAACTAAATCTTGTAATGAAAAACATGATTCACGTGAAAAACAATGAAATCTGTAATGAAGGTAAGATGTATTGAATTGTTCTTTAACCTTTACAGTCTGAGAAACCCAGAAAACCCCGAAAAAATAAAAAAGAGAAGGATGCTAATGCACCAAAACGTCCCCCGACTGCTTTCATGTGTTTTCTGAATGAAAACCGAGAGAAGATAAAGAGAGACAACCCCGGTATTGCCTTCCTGGACATTAGTAAAAAAGCTGGAGAAATGTGGAAGACTTTGGAGAACAAAAAAGTATGTTTGTTATTTAGTTGAGCAAGTTTTAAAGAAGGTATGTTACTATGGCAATGTTTAGTGTTGTGAAAAAAACTCAAGTTATGAAATTGAAGTTGCTATAGTGTGGAAAAGTTGCAATTGGTACATACAAATAAAACAAAACAAAAAAATTTGTAATCGGAGTTCATCTTCCAATTACTCAATCGGCCGAAACTTTTCAAAAAATAGTAAATAACAAAAAACTTTGAAAATAAAATAAAAATATTTTTTGTTCTTTACTAATTCCTATAGCAATTTAATTTAATTTTAAGCTGTAAAAACTGTAATATAAATTATTCATCTTGGAGTATTTTTTCTAATTAAAATTAAGGAATAATTGTGATTTTTGGGCACTTTTGATTTGTTTTGAAAAATCATGTGCGGCTGAACATTTGTTTATTTTGAGTTGCGAGCCAATTGTGCAGCTACTCGATTGATTAGATATTAATAATATAAAAACAACCCATGACTCACCACGGAGGAAGCTGCACTTGCGAGTTCCACCCACACCCTTCCCATCCATCCATACAATAAGAGCACGTTTGATACGTACATTATTTTGTTGCATTTTTTTACATGTGGCATGTTTAAAACTTTCTTTGGTTTAGTTTATTTCTGAATATTGTGTTGTACCTGTATACTCTGTATTTGTACTTAGATTAGGAGCTACAGTGTATTTGTACTTTGATTTGCTTTCAAAATTGGACATGATTGATCTAGATTCTATTGTGGCTCTGATAAAACCGTCTCTTGATTGGGACCCACCTTTTGATATCTTATGACAGGGACATTTTTTATATCCCAATCTGGAATTTATCTACTCTGAATCAACAATGAAATTCCATTATCAGGTCATTCCGAAGAAGAGGGGGAAAACACTGTTGTATTACTCTAATCGATGAATTAATTCTGAGTCTGTTATGTACTTACTGCACTTAAGCTTAAACCAAACTGACATGTATGATCTTAAAATATTTCACTAACTCTCTTAGAGCAACAGATGGATTTTCTACTTCCACAAACAGTACCTTTGGGACATAAGTAAAGCAATAAATAAATAGTGGAGATTTTCTAAAGATATCAAAATGAAATTCGGGTCCGTCCGATTTCCCGAAGCATTGCTTATTAACGTGTGGGTCCCAATCAAGAGACCGTTACATCCTAGCCACACTAGAATCTAGATCACTCATGCCCAATTTTGAAAGCAAATCAAAATACACAGTAGCTCCTAACCCAAGTACAAGTACAAAGTAAACAGGTACAAAAAAGACTAAACCAAAGAAAGTATCAAGCAACATGTAAATATCAAACGTGCTCTTATTGGTTGGATGGATGGAAAGGGTGTGGGTGGAACTCGCAAGTGCAGCTTCCTCCGTGGTGAGTTATGTGTTTTTTGGTTTTTTTTATATTATTAATATCTAATCAATCGAGTAGCTGCACAATTGGCTCTCAACTCAAAAATAAAAATATTTTGCAACACATGATTTTTCCAAACATAAACTGTGTCCAAAAATCACAATTTTTGCTTAATTTTCATGGAATTGTGCAATTGGAAAAAATACTCCAAAAAGATAATTTGTATTACAGTTTTTCACAGCTTAGAATAAAATGAAATTGCTGTAGGAATTAAAAGAACAAACAAATGTATTTTTAATTTTTGTTTTCTCCTATTTCTTTAAAATTTTTGGCCCATTGCGCAATTGGAAGATGAACTCCGATTTAAAAATTGTTTCTTTAGTTTTTCTTGTATGTACCAATCTCAACTTTTCCGTACTATATCAATTTCACGTGAGTTTTTTTGCACCACCCTAATGTTTAGTCTAGATTATGGATGACAGTAGTTTAATTTGATTGAATTTTGATAATTAAATTTAATTTGGTTATTACAAAAATTGTATTGCCTCCAAAATCATATGAATTTTGCACGTCTTTTTAGAACAACCATGATTAATAAAAGATATGAGGTTAGGTTTGATTGGAAAGGGCTTATTGCCCGAGAATTAAGGAGACAAAAGACAGGATAAGCATGCTTACCTTAAGAATTGTAGGCATCCCACTTCTTTTTCAGCCTTTGTCTCTTTAATACTAATAAATTTGATGATGAGTTAGCCTCTGGATAAAAAATTTTATAATTGCAAATTTTATAATAAATTTGGTTTATATGTTTGATGTTTGAGGTTAAAGGATGGTTATCTAGGTTCCATCATCATGCTATGTTTATCAATTATCAATTTATTGAGGTGGGGACGCCACTTAGATGCATGTTTTAGCCCAAATATGAGTGAAGGATGAGTGTAGAATGTTGGGAGATGATCTGTGTAGCTTTGATACTGACTAGGATCAGCTGGTTCATCAGTCAGGATCATTTATTTAAAGCCTAATGATCAGGAACAGCTAGTCCAGTTGTACATTTCAAGTTGTTGTACATTCTTTAATTGTTATCCATTGGGCTTTTAACTGTTTCCAGTTTAGATTTTTCAGATGGTGTGAATATCTGCCTAATGGCAAGCCATATAATTGATTTTTAGCAACTAGTTGGGGCAAATTGAAGCCATCTTTAGGCTGTTCATGAATGTCCTACTTTAGTCATCTTCTGCTAGAGATCGTCAATCTATATGAATGTAATTTATCAAAAGTTTTTGATCGGATTGTTTTCTAATCGTCTACCACAATCTTCTATTATTTTAATTTACTTTATAAAAGGTGATTTTTATATCTATAGCCCACCTAGCACTGAAATACTATGAGGTTTGTCCACATCCATCCATCTATCTATCTATCTATATTATTAATACGCTACATGAAACTTTGTGAACAATAAGGCGAAGGCTCTATGACTGACTGAATCGGATTGAACTGGATCGAGTTAGGTATTGTTCTTTTCGTTATATTCTAAGCTTTCTCCAGAGGTCTGTCTCAGCGCTGTGTGTTCTCCGAGCCGATCGTAATTGTAGCAGACAGCTGACGTTCGTGTTTTAGACAACTTGGTTATTTCACATCGGTGACTTGTGTGTTTTTGTACGTTTATCGTCGTTTTTAGTGGTAAAAATGGACAGTAGTGATATACGTAATGCACTAGAAGGTGATATTAGTGATGTTGAAGGACTTATTGACGATCCAGATGAAGTTGGTAGTGACATTGATGTTAATTATCCTTCAGATTCTGAACTATCTTTGCTAGACTTTTCGTCAGGGAGTGGAGAGGAGTATGTGCCCGATTTGAACGATTTAGAGACGTCAGATAATGACGAAAATCTTGAAATTGAAAATGAACAAGACACTAATGCAGGTAGGCCTAGGCTAATACCGGTACAGCAAAACATTGAACCTTGGATTAGGGTGTATCCCCCCGAACCTCCGAAAGATGTCAGACCTCAGTTTCAAGTTAGGGCTACAGGACCCAAAGATTTACCCCCAAGAAATTCTTCCCCTATCAATTATTTGAACCTATTTTTGACAGCTGCCTTTTGGAATATCATTACAAGAGAAACAAATGCCTATGCTCAAAGAACATTAGATGAAAAGAGAGATAATTTGAGTCCACAATCTAGGTTCAAAAGATGGTCCAATGTTTCCATACAGGAAATGAAAAAGTTCTTTGCTATTCTTATCAATATGGGAATGACTGTTAGGAAAAACATCAAATCATATTGGGACACTAGAAAAACAGAACATATAGCATTTTTTTCAAACACCATGGCGATAAATAGGTTTTTACTCATAAGCAGTTTCTTGCATTTGACATCGGCCCGCGCTGTTGAGAGGGGTCAGCCTGGACATGACCATTGGATGAAAGTAAGGTGGTTGTTAGATCATCTCAATTCAAGTTTCAAAAAACACTTTGTACCAAATCAGGAACTCTCCATCGACGAAAGTGTAGTAGGAACAAAGAACCGATGCATATTTATTCAATATATGCCAAATAAGAAACACAAACAATACGGCATTAAAAAATTCGAACTTTGTGATAGTGCCACCAATTATGTTATGCACATGGAACTATACAGTGGACGTGATTACCTTGCTGAAGCTAATTATGATGAATAGTTGTTTACCGAGAGGGTTGTAAAGAACTTGGTTGAAAAATCTTCATTGTTTGACAAAGGATATCATGTCTTTACCGACAATTTCTATACGAAAATTCCATTGGCTGAAAACCTTCTTGAACGACAAACATTCATCACAGGAACCATAAACAAAAAGTTAAAATTTATATCAAAAAGAATTAAAAACTATAACTTAGGAGAAAGGGAAACAGTATACTTTAGAAAGGGAAATCTGTTAATGGTTGGTTACCGTCAGAAACTGAGTAGGAAAATTGTGTATTTGATTTCTACAGCATACCATGCGGAAGATCAAATTATTACAAGTAAAAAGGGACTGAGAGGCATGAAACCGGTTTTGATACACCATTACAACCAGTTTATGGGTGGTGTGGATGTAAGCGACAAATCTGTGTACCATATGTCTTGCAACCGCACCACTTCCAAGTACTGGAAGAAGCTTTTCTTTAATTTTATTGATATTGCGCTCGTAAATGCTTACATTCTATACAAAGAGAACACTGACAAACCTGTATCAAGAAGAGATTTCCACATATCTATTGTAGAATCCCTCGTAGGTGAAGCAACCTGCGATGCCTTACCTGGACCAGTTCCTGGACCCCATGGGGATTGCGGTGACCACCGACTTGAAGAACTGCCTCGAAGAAGAGAAAGATTGTGTATCGTTTGTGGTCACACCAAAACCAGAGGCAGGTCTTCATATTGGTGCCCCGGTTGTAATGTGGGTGTTCACAAAGAATGCTTCCATAAAATGCAGCACTTTTTGAGGCATAAAAATGGCAGAAAAAGGGCCAGAGTGACCCTAGACCAAAGTAGCGGAGAGGACTCTGATTAGGCCCATGTGTTAATTCTTCTGTACATAATATTTCTTTTCATAAGTGTTTTTTTTTATTTACAAGTGTTGAAAACTATTGA